AAAAAAAAAAAAAAAACAACTTACTGTTTCAGCATCCACAAACACTGTTGGGCATTCTGAACACATCATCATCACTTCCAGTGAACTTTTAAATTTGGTACCAATGCGTTGCAGACTCTCACCAAGAAAGCTGACTGCCTCATTAGTTATATCTCCAAACTTTCTTTGAATTGTCTACGGAGAAAAGCATTAAAAAATTTTAGTGTTTCATAAGAAGGCCTTTTTTCATCTTTAAGGAGCATAATTTATAATTAGGGCAAACTTTTATTTTAAAATTATTATTGTAGTGATATACAGAATTCTAATAACTGGTCTGTAAATCCATGTTTTTAGTCTCTTCTTTAGGATATGTTAATTTCACAAAATGATCAAAAATTTACAAAATCATACTACTGAAAAAAGAAACTGATGATTCATGCCATTCATCTCCCCATTCCTGAGATTTTTTTCATTAGGAGAGATAGAAGGAATACGTGCTGCACATCACTGGAAATAAAGTCCTTACATGTCTGAAGAATTAGCTCTTCTAAAGTTCTACCTGAAAGAAACTTTCAGTAAATGCAGTTTACTATGTATGCTTGGCTATGGGCTGCCATCTGATTTAATTAAAGTCATAAACATGCATTAAGGGTACTATCTTCTCAAAACTCAAGAATACTCACTGACGTAAAGTAGAGAGTGCCTTACCCATAATGAGCACTCAGGGACTTAGACTACATTATCAATGGTATAATTATACAGATAGTTAACGTGTACCCACATGTGTATGTGCCGCACCGTCGGGTATCCTTATAGTTTAATAATAATAAAAGCATTAGCTACAATCTCAAGCATCAGGAAACAGAATATCATTGGAAAGAAAAAAATACATAAATAGGAAACCAAGTAGCAGTGCAAAAGTACAGAATAAAATAAATAAATGCTCTGCTTCAGGAGCGCTAAACAACTTCCCGGAGGGAGAGACTGGAGGTTGGAGTGGCTGGAAAAGCCCCACTGAGAATATGTACTTAGCTGGGTCTTCCAAGATGGGCAGCATTTGCTTGGGTTGAGAGGAAAAGTGGTAGGTAGTTCAGAGCATAATGACTGACCTGGTGTTTCTCTGTGCTTTAGTTTCCCTGGCTACAGAACGCCAGAAATACATCTACATTTTTTTTTTATTTTTATTTTTTTTATTTATTTGCGAGAGAGAGAATGAGAGACAGAGAGCATGAGAGGGAGGAGGGTCAGAGGGAGAAGCAGACTCCCTGCTGAGCAGGGGGCCCGATGTGGGACTCGATCCCGGGACTCCAGGATCATGACCTGAGCC